CTACAGCCCGGGGTGGGCCTTGACCTGTTGTACAATCATCCTCCAAAGATTTCTGTCGGCTGCACAGCTTCTCCAGTTGGTAACCCCAACTTTTCTCAAGTCCTGTTCTATATTATCTTTCCATCTGAGCCTAGGTCTGCCTCTGCTGCGCGTATTCATTGGTATAGCCCTCATTATTGATTTTGGCAGTCTGTCTTCCGGCATTCTATACACATGCCCGGCCCACTTGATTCTTTGACTTTTGACGAAGCGTACAATATCTTCACCCCTAATTAGATTAAGTAGTTCTGCGTTTGATCTCATGTAGTATTTTCCAGTATCATCCTGCTTGGGTCCATAAATTTTTCTTAGAATTTTTCTTTCAAATATACGTAACATATTCTCATCTGCCACGGTGAGCGTCCATACCTCGCCACCATAAGTTACGGCCGGCCTAATCAATCTTTTGTACATTTGAAGTTTGCAGGTTCTGGTAAGTAGTTTGGATTTAAACAATTTCTCATAAGCGTAGTAACATTTATTTCCTGCTAATATTCTACTTTGGATGCATCTATTTGTGTCGTTCATATTATTTATTTGAGCACCTAGATACGAAAACTCGCTTACGCCTTCAAAATTATATCTCCCAATAACAATATTTTCTACGGTTCTTCTACTATTCGATCGCGATACTTTAAGATATTTTGTTTTATTTTCGTTTATTGTTAGACCAATATTTAAACAAGATTCTTCCAACTCCGTGAAGATTTCTTTTAGGTCCTGTAATCGCTTAACCATTATAATTATATCATCTGCATATGCGCCTATTTGAGTTGATCTATATATTATATTTCCATTTCTGTACAAATGTCGAATCGCATAATGTAGTACCAAATTAAAAATAGTTGGTGAAAGAGTATCACCTTGTTTGACGCCAGCGCCAAACGTAAAAACCTCTGAAACTTCATTCTGCACCATTACTCGGGCTTTGGTTCCATTTAGTGTCATCATGACTAGTCTAATCAATTTTGATGGAATACCAAGACTCGACAGAGCCGTTGTAATTGTATTCCTTTTGATACTATCGAATGCTTGTTTAAAAGCTAAAAATAGCAGATGAACATCCTGGTTATATTCTTATAGTTTCTCCATACTTTGCTTCACTACAAAAATTTGATCTATAGTCGATCTGCCTTCCCTGAAACCGCATTGGTATTCATACAAAATGCCTTCTGCAAATGTTTTTAATCTTTTCGAAATGATACTAGCCAGTATCTTATATGCAGCATTCAAGAGACTAATTCCCCTATAATTTTCACATATCGTTTTATCCCCTTTTTTCAAAAATAATACCGACGTTCCAGTTTTCGGGCATTATTTCCTCACTCCAAATTCTGCGTACTAGCCCATTAACAGATTCATGAAACCGACTGCCTGCGTTTTTTATCATCTCTGTTGTTATTGAATCTTCTCCTGGTGATTTGTGTGCCTTTAGAGAATCAATGGAGTTGAGCACTTCATCCATAGAAGGCTCATCGACACGTTCCTCCTGATCCCCCGCTGCCACCCATTGTGTTGTTTCTTCCCTTGATTCTGTATTCAATAACTCTTGAAAATATTGCTTCCATCTGTTAAGTATTTGCATTTTTTCAGTTAATATAATACCGTCCTTGTCTTTAACATTTATTAATTTTGGTTGGAATCCAGCTTTTTCATGTTTTAAATTAGCATAGAATTTTCTTATGCTCTTGCTATTATGCGCTGAATTGATTTCTTCTACTCTTTTTTTTATGGCTGTACGCTTTTTTCTTTTACATATTTTGTCGGCAATTTTTCTCTTATTTTTGTAGTTTTCCTCGTTTCTTCTCGTCATTCTTTGCAGCATGATTTCCCTAGCCATATTTTTTTCTTTTATAGAATTGGCACATTCTTCGTCATACCACTCCTGATTTCTCTGCATTTGCTTCCTTCCTACCGTTTCCATTGTGCAAGTTACTAATGTTTTACTCAAATTTTCCCATTCCTGATTGATACTGTTATTGGCCTGCGCTGTTTGTTGGATGTTGTTGAGCTGCTCTTCAATTTTATTTCTATATCTTGTGAGTGTGTTCTCGTCTTTTAATTTATCTGTGTCGTATTTATTTCTTTTTTGACCCCTATTCTTTCCAACGTTTGAGATCCTTTGTCTGATTTTAATTCGGATCATGTAGTGATCGCTATCACAGTTTGCAGCTCGGCAGGCCCTTACGTCTAGTATTGATGACATCCATCTTTTAGATACGAGTACATGGTCTATTTGGTTCACAGTACTGCTTCCTGGTACCTTCCATGTACCCTTATGTATATTTTTATGCGGAAAATGTGTGCTAACTATATATGTCGATGTACCCGAAGCAAGATGGCAAAGTCTTTCCCCATTTGGTGATGTTGTATCATGAAGGGAGTGTTGGCCAGCAACTTCCCTGGCAAAGACCTCCTTGCCTATCTTGGCATTGAAGTCGCTCAGTATTAAAACTGTATC